TCTACTGGCCGACTTCACGTGCTCACTTCCAGCGAATGTTTTTGCCCTGTAAATTAGGATTTCAGATTTTTTCAAAATTTGCCATCACTTTCTTCAAAGGATTCATTTTTTTCTGCTCGGCATCTTTCTATTCACAAAGTAAAATCTGCTGAACAACAGTATGCAATTTCTGAAAGCAACGGAGCATCGAACATTCAATGGATATCAACTGGATAAATGCAGCCCGAGATCGACGCATCCAGATAGCACAGCTGAACGAAGCGTTTGAGGAAATCCCAGTGCATTACTAAAATGAGATTCCACACCAAATGCACAGGGAATCTTGTAGTAGAAGTAAAATATTATAATGGTAAGAAATGTTTCAGTCCATTAAGTCATATACGTTTTCGTCTTAAGCAAAACATGCGTTTTAAATATCACCTGTAATCAACTTGCTGCCTCATTTTCAACGCCGAACATCTGATGGTCTTGGAACTGTCATTGGTGATTGTTGCGTTCACTTGGAACTGTTCGCCAGGTGTAAATCCAGTTCGATCGAGTGACAGCTTCACCGACACAGAGCCTTGCCTCCGGCAACAAAAACTCACCGATGAATCACACTCCGAAACACAAGCTGGTTCCATTGTCTGAACATTAAAGATTTTCACCGACCGTACATAAATGAGCTTCAAATAGCACAAAACTGCCGGGACCCTGACTGGAAGACAACAGATGTGAGCATACACTCCATAAATCTACCACCTTTTATATTCGCTCAAATGTTCAAAATTGACTGAGTGAGCTATTCGACTTCAAATATCTGCTTGGAGTACTTGAATTCATGGCTGTGCTTCTTAGCAGCTTTTCCAACTGTCACAAATGATTGTGCTTTTGATAAAATAGCAGCAAGCTGAGCGCCAGATGATGCAGCTTTGGTCAAAAAATACTTGCCGAGAGCAGACTATGAATTGTATCTGACGAATCTAACAGATAATACCAAATCCCATGGATTTAGGTAATTAAATTCAATTTTGCTCTTTAAGGATGTCTAAAAAAACTGAGACTTAAATCGAGATTAATCCAATAAAATCTGTACAGTAATTTGTAGGCAACAGAATCATGAATTAATTTGGAGTCAACAAATCCCGCGAACCAGCGAAGAAAAAAAATATATAAAGAGTTCAAAAAAATGCTTTAGGGATTAACACTGCGATTATGCCGCAGAGTTTCTAAGAACTCTAGTTACATTTATTTAGCGTTTTTTAAAAAATGGAGCTTATACTGTGATTACTTGTGCGATGGTCTCATCATCATGCCTGCAATTACAGTATAAGCCCGTAAGACTGCCAGTACAATTCTAAAGAGGTGGAAATCAGCTTCACCTCCGGCTCCTGGTTGATATCCTCAATTCCGACAACTGTAAACGCTCGTTTCGACACAATATCCACATCCCAAGGCCTCTCGCATGTAGCTGTGCAAGTGTACCTAACAAAACCATATTCACCCTCAAACGATGACGGTAGCGTCTTCGGTAACGTATAAGAGAATGGAATTTCGTGCCTTCCTTGGGGTAAAATTCGCTCCTGAAAACTGCCATCGCTATGATTGCTATTTTGTCGCAAATATGCAAGCATGACAAGAAATAATTACATTCTTGATAGTGAGTAAGGATTTTTTAAAAACTCGAGCCAAAACTAAGCCTCACAAAATTCAGACCCGGACGTTTCGAGACAGGGTAGAAAAAGAGGATAAGAATACAAATTAAGGGTACGGGACAAAAACTAGAGAGAGCATAAAGGGGAAAAACAGCAAAGCACTATAAAGAAAAGTAAATTAAAGCAAGCTTGAATCTACGTATAAAAACAAAAAAAGCGAAGCAAAAAAGTCTGAACCTATGTACAAAAACTAAAAAAAAGCAAAAAAAAACCGAGCCTATACGAGAGAAAATTGTTCTATAAAAACCCACTGTCAGTAGCAGACTCCGCCATTTATGATGCTAATGCTTCGATAAAGCTGAGAGCGAATAAGGTAAAACTGCATTGGTGAATCTGAGAGCTTTTACATTTACCTAAGCATCTGCTTCATAAATAGGCTGGCCCATAAATAGGCTGGCACACTACTGAAGACGGTTTTTTGTAAGACAGTTTCTGCTTTCTGAGTTTTTTTGCTTTTTTTAGCTTTTACTCATAGTTTCCGATTCTTTTAATTTCGCTTTCCTTCATTTTTCTTCACAAGCTCAGGTTTGCTTTAATTTACTTGCAGCGTTGTCTCTTTCTTTATATTGCTGTTTCCCCAGTTCTCGCCTTGAACTCTTGACTAGTACCTTTGTTCCCTTCTTTATCTTGTCCCTAATCCTGCTTGCAGACTGGCATCTTTACCAACCGCCATTAATGTCAACCCAGGTAGCGGCTGGTAGTGCAGTAAAGGTCAATCAGCCAAACACTCGAAAAAATTAAAGTGTATGCTAGAAACGAAGCATGAAGAACATTATGAATGAAACAATTAGCAACAGCTCCAGTACAATACATTCCTTTGAAATCTGAGTTGATAATTATGAGAAAACTGACGCAAAACCTTTTTGTTTTGGGAGGAGATTTGCGTGAACTGATGTGTGTAACAAGTATTGAATTGCTCACAAAAATACGGTTCCGCTTGGCTGCAGTGCTTCCGCGATTTACCTGAAATCAACCAATTGTTTTGATACTTCGATCACTCAACTGACATTGGAGAAAAAAAATTTCAGATTTTAAATAAAATGTTTGCGTTTAGTCTTCAGTTTTTGTGTTTTTGTTGTGCAGTGCTACAGCGACTAGAAACGCATACTGTCGTAAGTTCGTCCTCGTGTGTGTGTGTGTGTGCATGTGTGTTCAGAAAGAATGAACTATGTCACCCACTTTCAACTCAGCAACTAAGAAAGCTTGAAGGTTGAAATTTTGGAATCATACTCCCACCCCATATTTCTTCCTCGTGTTTTAAAATCTTCGCTCATGTGCGTCTAGATCGCGAGACCCCCGAAGAAAATATGCACATTTCTTTGGTGTGGAAACGATTTCGCGAACCAGACAAAATAGTAAGCTGAACTTTGCAGAGACAGTGCATGTGTAAACTAAAGATTTCAAATTCAGCTATGACGCACTCTCATAGTGCGTGCGGTTACGCCAACTTTCGCAGTTGGCATTGTGCTAACTCGAAAACTAGAAAACAGTAGCTGAAATTTCGTCAAAGTAAACTATGGGAAATCGTATACCTAAACTGAGTTTCGATTTTTACCAGCGCCATGACTCAAGACACTTCAAAGATATTTGTAGTGTAGACAAGCTGCGAAGCTGAAACTTTGCAGGAATGTCTAATATTCAGGTGTGGTCCTAGTTCAGATTGGAGGTGAAATTTTACGCAAACGGACAAGACAAATACTCAATTTCATCGCAAACTCAAAAGCAAGTGCATTTTGCAGATTTCATAA